CCGACTGGTACGGGTTGAGCGCAATGCACATGTCGCCCGTGTACGTCGTATGGATGCTCGGCGAGGAAGCGCGCCTTGACGTTGTACAAGATCGCGGCTTCGTGGAGGTAGCTGAGCGTGATCATGTCGTCGACACCAACCGCTTCGTTCTGCATCGGCAGCGCCGACGACGCGCCGGCGTTCTTGGCGGCCATGAGCGCCAGCGTCTTCTTGTCGCGCAGGTCGATCTCGCGGACGCTTACCGCGCCGTCGAGGCCGCGGACCTTGGCGCGGACCGTCTGCGCGATCGGGTCATGGGCGACGACGTCGGCCGGTAGCCACACATGCGTCTCGTCTGGCACGTACACGCGCGTCCCAGCGACCATCTCGAGGCCCATGCTGCTGCTGTCCTCTTCGTGTCACGCACAGTCACGCCGAAAATGGTGTAATGCAGTATCCGGATATGGGCTTGCCTTCCGGACACGTCGTAGAAGCGAGACGTAGCTGGCAACCATTCCGCAGTTCGCGACAAGGGCCCATGGAGAGTATGTCGTTCGTTCGATACGACCACGCTCTGTAGTATGTATGCTCTAAGAAGGGATCGTGCCGTTGTGATCGCCGCATGCTAGCGTGACGGCAGGCGCCGGTCGACCCAAAATTGCACTGTTTTTTACAATGTAATGTTGTACAGCGCTGCCGCAAGAAAACAGGTGTTGACGCTGCGATGCGAGCCGCACAATGATAAACCAGTTAGCTGTATGTAGGCCGAACAAGAGTGCGAGGGACAAGTGAAGCGGTGCCACGGCTCTTGGGGCTTGAACACACTGTCCATGAACGGTGCGAAGCCACGTTTGACCAACAGCACAGAGTGTGTCCATGGACATGTTAGAGGTTCCTTTGCCCCGCTTTCCATGCAGTCCGTCACAAAAGACTCGAGATGTTGTACGTACTGCGATTAACCATCCTCTCGACACGTGCGATGTCAGGCTGGTCATGGGTTCGAGCTTTGATAAAAAAACGTTTTTAAAGACGAATAAATGCGCTATTTACTCAGTTGTCGCGCTTGGCGATGCGGACATAATACTCGTCCGTCGTCGCAATCCAGTCGGGGTGTTGGATCGTACCGTCCGTTTGCACATAGGGCATTTTGCGCTCGGTGTTCTGGGCCATTGTGTCGAGGTCTATGAGGCCATAGACAAAGTACTGGTGGTCAAATACATTCGACAAGTTGATCGACTGCGTTTCCATGAGGACGCTCAGCGGCACGTAAATGAGCTCTTCGTCGCGAATGAGGTCCATGGACGACCAATAATACGGAAAAATGATGTTGTAGAACGGCGACGCCTTGGAAATGGGCTGCCGACCGATGCCGACGAGTCGAAGCGCGGCCGTGACGAGCTTAAAGTACGGCAAAAAAACACCCGAGCGCAATACCGCCATGACGACGAGCCACACGAGCGCGAGCCAGAGCTGGTTGTGAATCCAGCTCAGCGCTGGCACGGTCGCCCGAAGGATGCATATTTCAGCCACTAGAATCGCCAAAACCGAGACGGGCAGGACGCCGAGAAGCACCGCCGCGACGCCGTAGCCCTTGAGATCAATCGCGATGCCAGGCATGCGGTCCATGAAAACGAGTGCGAAGAAGACCCACGAGTACGCAGCGAGTCGCACGAGCTCTTCGATATTGGCAAAGTGCCCCAAGACATTGACGTCGCAGACATAGACAGCATCGAGCGAGACATCAGTGATGGCGTCGGTCCATTGGCAGTGGTTTTGGCTCGCACCAATGTGCCACTCGAGGAACGAGAGAAACCCAATGCAGCGCATCGACGTTCGGTAGTGGCTCCAAATGACGTTCGAGATGCTTGAATTCGTGACGCTAAACAGCAGCTGCGCCTTCTTGCGCTTGCTAATGGGCATCGCCCGCATCCATTCGTACGTCCTTCGGAGGTACACGGCGATGCGGATGAAAAAGTACATGTACCCGGCCAGCGACAGCAGCGCAATGAAGTTGAGCACCGTTGTCTCGGACCCATTGGCTTTGGTCATGACTAGCGAGGCCTGCGTGCCTTGCGCGAGCATGTCCATGACGTAGCTCGGGTACTCGGTGTCGGGGGGGCGCCCCCCGATCAAGCACGCGAGGATTGCGACGGGCCCCGCCGTACCGTTAATCACGAGCGTGTTACGTACGCCGTTGAGCGACTGGTACGTCACTTGGAGGTGCGAAGTGCCTGCGCCAAAGCAGCGGACATCCACAAACACGTCGGCGAGGCCGTGCGCGGTTGTGTCGACTGACGCTTGGCAGACGCCCCCTCGCATATAGGTCACGGTTGTGCCGCCACTCGCCGACGAGTTCATGCACGTCGAGAAGCAGCCGTCGCCCACCAAACACATCTCTTCGAGCGCATTGGAGGTTGTCCGAGGAGTCTGTGTGGCGTTGGCGACGATCGTTTGAAAGAGCGCCTGCCACGCCGAGAGGTTGCCGACGTTCACATACGAGATCGAGTGCAGTGGTGCGATCGTCCGGCGCTTGTACGTGTACGGCGTGATGCGTTGATTTGAAGGGCCCTTCTCGAACGCATTGTTGTCGTTGTAGCGAGTACCCGCCAGCACCGAGAGGTACTTGCCGTTGAAAAAGGCTGGCAACGTTGTCGCTACCTTGGCAAAGCACTCGGTCGCGTTCGGCAACCCCGAGATCGGGTTGACGTACTGCAACGTGCAATACCACGCCGTCTCGCGCGGGTTCAAAATCGCACTCAAGTGCCCGCTGCCTGTCGTGAGAACGGTCGACGGGTCCCGACCACTGATCTGGTACGTGACGGAACCAGATCGGT